CCAATCAAACACACCCCTAGTGTTTTTAATGAAAAATTATCGCTGAATTGGTTGAAATTAATTCACTGAATTAAACAAATTTATAAATTTGCCTTGAAAAATATAACATATGTCACTTACATATATATTTTTTTATTGAAAAATGCAAATAATTGTAAGTGATTAGACTAAATTGAGGCAAAATCATAAATTTAGGTTCAAAATCTAAGCAATTGAAATTATGGGAACCAAAATAACATAAAGACCAAAATATAAGGACTATTAGCGAATTTGTCCAAATTTTAACTAAAAATTTTAAAGAACTCCAAAATTAGTTCAAGATTGATTTATTTACTTAATGAGGTGAGTTTAAACAAATTTTTAATTAACCAAATACAAATCACACTCGAACTATTTGATTTATTTATCCCAGCTAACCACATAGATCATATTGGCCTTGTTTTGAGAGTTGACTATTTTAATAGGCTATTTTGGTTTGAGAACGAATCATTTTGCGCCCTCCCCCCAAAAAACTATCATGCGTTTTTCACGTTGACCCCCATACTTCGGTTTATTTCAATTTAGTACCTGAACTTTTCACAAATTGATCAATTAGACCATTGCCGTCACCTTTTGTCTATAATTAGACGGAATGTGCTGATGTGGTATTCAAGATTTCATTTTATCCCCCCAAACTATACCTTAAAAATCAATTTATCCCCTAATTTAAAAATCAATTTGCCCCCAAAACTATACTTTAAAAATCAATTTGCCCCACATATCAACACATTCCGTCCAATTGTGGACGGAAGGTGACAGCAGGGGTCTAATTGATCAATTTGTGAAAAGTTCAGGTACTATAGCACCTGTATCCTTCAAAGCTTTTGGGGAAGTGTATTCGAATCCTTTATTTTTATTTTGGAAATCTTTGGTGTTGTTGTATGTTGGTTTTGGAGGAGTATAATCCGATTTAAACATGTTGGATTTGGTTGGTCGCACTTGTTCTTGTCAAAAGTTTCTTGGAGACTTAGAAATTCTATTCTAGGGTTGACACCAGCTTTCCTAAGAGTCTACCCTTACCTGTTGGTGAAGTTCCTGAAAGTATTGCTGGAAAAATGATAGACACCAATCTGGGAAGGGTCAACCCTCTTATGTTACAGAATCTGTGTGTTAGTTGCTGAAAAATGGGGTCGACCCCCTCTTGTCTAAGGGTCGACTCCCTTGCTTGTTACCAGATTGTCTTTCCTACCTAAAGGGTCGACCCCTCTACCCGAAGGGTCGACCCCTGCGTGTTTTTTTTCAGATTTTTGGAGTTCGAATGGGCCCTACCTTTGGGGGGTTTTGGACCTATTATTTTATTTGACCTTAGGACTATTTGCTACTACTATAAATAGGCCAAAACCACTTTTCTCTCATTATTTTCCTTCACTTTTTCCCTCCAAACCATGAGTCCTTCTCTCTCTTTCCAAAACTCAAACTTTTTCACTTAAATCTCTAGATCTACTCACCTAGAGTGATCTTTTCACCTTGATCCTTTGAGATTAAGTGTAGAGCTTGTCAAGGGCTTCGTTTTGATCGGGGCAAAGCGTGGTTTCGTCGCTGTCAACTTTTGAGCTTTTCCCTCTTCTCTCTCATCTAAGCTTAAGGTAGGGATCTTTTCTACACTTCTATATGATATTTAGCTTAGTTATTTGTACCTTGTGTAACAATGATATGATTTGGGGGTGTTTAAGGCAAATCTAGGGTTTGGGCATAAAATGGAAATAGGGGATTTTAGGTGAAGGTGAAATAAATGCTTGAGGGGTTTGAAGATGATGTGGTATTGTGTATGATTTGATGATTTTGGTACTTGGCTAAAATTTGGGGAAAAATGGGGATTTGCCCTAATTGAATCAAATTATTATTTTGTATCAATAATGGAAATTGACATTAAAAATGTGAAATTGAAAAGGTATTGATATGAATGGTGGGATTGGTTATGTGTTATTCCATTCTTTGGTGGTTTCGAATAAACTATATGTTATGAGATTTTATATCTGCTTAGAAATAATTATATTGGGCTATCGGTGGAAGATAGTTATGATTGTTGTAGAAATTACATGCGGATTAAGTGAATTGAAATTAATCACTTGTGCTTGTCATTGAATATGACTATATTTATATACATTGTATATGTATGGTTATTTGGGAATGGAAAAAGAATGTACTCCATTGTTTGAATTTATGATTAAATACATTGCATATGTATGAATGATTGTTTGGGAGGAGAAAGGGGATAGACTCCATTATAATTAAGTTGACCGGAATGTCCTGGGTGAAAGTCTCGAAATTATACATGGGTGCCTAGCCTGTAGACAAAATATCCGTAAAATGGCAATTGTAGTGCTTGTGTAGCCTACGTTTACATGAGTCCTGTTTGACGACTGCCCGCAGACGAAATATCCGTGAAAGAATACATAGGTCCCGTTTGGCGGCTGCCCGCGGACGAAATATCCGTGAAAGAAAAGTTTGAAGTGCTTATGTGTTGATAATGTGATTCTAGAACTAACGAGTTGTAATCTCATTTGGGTTGGTAAGAAATGATGAAATTGGCTTATGTAATTAAATGAAATGAAGGGAAATGGCTTAATTATTGAGTTTGGTAATTTAAGACTACACATAATGTGGATGCATTTATCTTTGATGTTGTATATGCATAGTGTACTTATACTTTTGCTAAATTTCATATACTGTGTTAGATGGTTTCTACTGGGCTGTGGCTCACCCTACTTGGGAATAACATTTTCAGGTAATGATGGCATGCCTCCATCAAGGCAATAGCGTTGGAGAAACTTTTGGAAGCAAGGGCTTCTCATTTTTATTATATGTTTTTGTAAAGCCAAGGGTTTAAGATGTAATGAGCGAAACTCACTTTTGATTGTAACCAAGATATGTCTTGGAAAGATGTAAGCTCGTAAGGCATTTAATTTGTTGTTATACATTTGCATTACATGTTGTAGATTTATAATGAACGTTTATGAATGTACAATGCATGTAATCCCTTTTGTAATATGAATTCTGTTATGAGAAAGTGTACCAATTGTGTTATATTCATTTCTTTTATGAGTTGGATTATTTGTATTATTTTGAGGGCGTTACAGGTACTAAGTTGAAATAAATCGAAGTATAGGAGTCAACGTGAAAAACGCGTGATAGTTTGGGGAGAAAATGATATTTCCTCTTTTAGTTTTTAGTTATTCTAGTAAGCTAAAATATCTATGTTTAGGAAAAATGATGAATTCTTTTATAGTTGGATATGATATTTGTGAAAGAACAAATAAAATAATTATGATTTTAATGTGATATTTATATTATTAATTATTTTAATTTATTTTATCCTTTTATAAATTTTAGTAAAAAAAAAAACTAATTTTTAACTTTTCATACCCTCAAAAATCATCAGTCCATTTTAGGACGCACAAGTCACGATCAAGATTGACACCAAAGTTCACACGCTTTTTAGACGATCAAAAATGTTATAAATCTTAAATAATTTATTAAATTTTTTAAATGAGTGTGAAACTCACACATATATACATGTGTATAAGTCTCATACTCATATAAGAGGTTTGATAAAAAAAAATTTAATAAATTATTTAAAATCCTTAACCTCACTCTTAGACAATTGCATGCAAAGCTTCAAGTTTTAACCGTTTTGAGGAAGCGTTATTTTGGGGTGGAGGTTAAAAATTAAATTTTTAATTTTTTTTAATATTTTTTAAAAAAATGTATAAAAAAATAAAGGAAAGATATGATCAAAAGAGATTATAAGACGAAAAGTAACTTTTAATCTCTTTGCTAAAAAAGACATAAAAAATTAAGAAAAATGTTAAAGACCTAAAAAAATTATTAAAATTTTTTTATCAAACACTTGTAGCTTCCTAGCATTGCTCAGAAATTAATTACAAAATTTGATATAATTCTAAATAATTGCAATCTAAACTTTAACACTTGTTCTATAAAAAAACATAACTCACTTTCTCACATGAATGTAAGATTTATAAAAAAAATAAAATTCATAAAAAGATAAGACTAGCCTTAATTATATGAGACAATTATGTCTGATTTTGTTATCATTTTACTTTTACCTGGACTTTTTCAAGATTTAATTTAAAAACATTTACTGTACTGATAGAAATGTTGATTTTTCCACTCATTATCCATTCGGGGGAGGATCTCTCCAGTTCAAAATTGAGATTGGAAGACGTTATTTGGGCCCATGAGTTTCATCATGAGTCCTGTTTCGATGATATAAACTGCTTATTTTGTCAAACACTTTATATATTTCATTTATAAAAAATAAAAAAAAAAGTAGATCGATCTATTAATCGTAGCATATTCAATTTATCATGTTTGTCACAAAAAAAAAAAAAAAAAGACAATTGTGTTTTAAAAATAAACCATCCTTTTTTTTTTTTACAAACGCGATAAATTAAACAATCTACAATTATCAGATCGACCTAATTTTTTTTTTATAGATGAAATACATAAAATGCCTTACAAAATGAACAGTTCCTACTATTAAAACGGGAACCATGATGGAACACGGGTCCAAACAGCACCCTCGAATCTAGATTTTGGATTGGAGATGATCCTCCTCCTCATCATTATACAATAATAAATGGGAGAATTACTTAACAATCTGATAGAAAAAAAAAATTACAAAAACATTAGGGGTGCAAGTGATTATGTGATGAAGTGCAAATAAAAAACTATGCGGGTGCAAGTCCATGTTTGGGTGTTTTTTTTTTTTTTTTTGGTCTATTTTTTTTTAGGTCTATTCAACTGGTAAGTAATTCCCCCATAATAAATTGAATAAAACTATACGCACTAAATTGTACACCAATTAATGTACTAACGAATGGTATAGCATAATTTTATTGGTTTTGAATCTTTATAATTTGTGTAATTAATGAGATTTATAATTTTAAAATTACAATGCTATAACATGTGTAGTACGCTAATTAATATAGTAAATTTCAACCCACAGTCTACACTCTCTTCCATCCACACACTTTTCTTCCAAAATGGTATCCCTCAATAATATCAAAACCACCTTATTGACAATCATTCTGGCTGGAATTCTTAGCGGTATCATACCAAAAATCGTAGTGGGTCAGAATTGTGGTTGTAGTGAAGGACTATGTTGCAGCAAGTTCGGGTACTGTGGCACTGGCGATGACTACTGTGGTTCAGGGTGCCAATCAGGCCCTTGTGCAACGCTGCCTTTTTTTTTCTCTTTGATCTGCTTCCCCGATGCCTTGGACCCTGGTATTGTTGTGACGCAGGCATTTTTCGATGGGATAATCAATCAAGCTCCTGCTGGATGTGTAGGGTATATTAGAGTTGAAAAAGATGAGTTATAAAGCACTGTTTGACATGCTATTTTAGCATATTATCTTATTTGGGTCACAATCATCTTAGACCATCTCCAACGGTGGATCAAACCATGCATCAGATTTGAAATTTGATGAAAAAGTGACTTTTTCAAGCTCCAATGGTTTCACCAATTTGATATTAAAATGAGAATGGAACAAACATTTTATCAAAAAAGACTATTTTACCATTTTTCAATTGTTTACTAAGTAATAGCAATATTAAACATATCTTTAATATTTTAATTATTTTTAGGTAGATTAAATAAAAATTTATTTTATTTTATTTTATTTTTTATACAATTAAATAAATGTATTTTTTAAAAATTAAATAAATTAAATATCAATAAAAATATATGTTTTTTTAATTAAAATTTTAAATAAATTTATCTTTAAAAATAATAATAACTAAATAATGAAATTAAATAAAAACATCTGTTAAAATTTATATAATGAAATTAAATAAAATATAAACAAAATTTTAAAATAAAATATCTATTAAAAATTATTTTAAAAAATTAAATAAATAAAACATCAATAAAAAGTTAGACAAAATTATTTTATTTTTACATTGAGACATTTAAATTTTATTAAATATAATACATAATTAAATAGTAGAGGGTCAAAATGGTCATTTCACATTCCAATCTCAACAGTAAATAGTCCAATGAAAATTGTCTCATACCCCCCTAGGATAGTATAATCCCCCATATGGGAGATAAAGAGTCCGGCTAGACTTCATGTCTGACAAACTAAAAAAAAAAAAACAAGCACCGGATAAAAAGTTTCCCCCAGATTACAATCCGAACAGTGGATAGTCCCCCCCTATCCCCCCAATCAAACACACCCCTAGTGTTTTTAATGAAAAATTATCGCTGAATTGGTTGAAATTAATTCACTGAATTAAACAAATTTATAATTTTGCCTTGAAAAATATAACATATGTCACTTACGTATATATTTTTTTATTGAAAAATGCAAATAATTGTAAGTGATTAGACTAAATTGAGGCAAAATCATAAATTTAGGTTCAAAATCTAAACAATTGAAATTATGGGAACCAAAATAACATAAAGACCAAAATATAAGGACTATTAGCGAATTTGTCCAAATTTTAACTATTCAAATTTGATTTAAAAATTTTAAAGAACTCCAAAATTAGTTCAAGATTAATTTATTTACTTAATGAGGTGAGTGTAAACAAATTTTTAATTAACCAAATATAAATCACACTCGAACTATTTGATTTATTTATCCCAGCTAACCACATAGATCATAGTGGCCTCGTTTCGAAAGTTGACTATTTTAATAGGCTATTTTGGTTTGAGAACGAATCATTTTGCGCCCCTCCCCCCCCAAATCTATCATGCGTTTTTCACGTTAACCCCCATACTTCGATTTATTTCAATTTAGTACCTGAACTTTTCACAAATTGATCAATTAGACCATTGCCGTCACCTTTTGTCTATAATTAGACGAAATGTGCTGACGTGGTATTCAAGATTTCATTTTATCCCCCCAAACTATACCTTAAAAATCAATTTATCCCCCAATTTAAAAATCAATTTGCCCCCAAAGCTATACTTTAAAAATCAATTTGCCCCCATATCAACACATTCCGTCCAATTGTGGACGGAATGTGACAGCAGGGGTCTAATTGATCAATTTATGAAAAGTTCAGGTACTGTAGCACCTGTATCCTTCAAAGCGTTTGGGGAAGTGTATTCGAATCCTTTATTTTTATTTTAGAAATCTTTGGTGTTGTTGTATGTTGGTTTTGGAGGAGTATAATCCGATTTAAACTTGTTGGGTTTGGTTAGTCGCACTTGTTCTTGTCAAAAGTTTCTTGGAGACTTAGAAATTCTATTCTAGGGTTGACACCAGCCTTCCTAAGAGTCTACCCTTACCTGTTGGTGAAGTTCCTGAAAGTGTTGTTGGAAAAATGATAGGCACCAGTCTGGGAAGGGTCAACCCTCTTATGTTGCAGAATCTGTGTGTTAGTTGCTGGAAAATAGGGTCGACCCCCTCTTGTCTAAGGGTCGACTCCCATGCTTGTTGCCAGATTGTCTTTTCTACCTAAAGGGTCGACCCCCCTGCCCGAAGGGTCGACCCTTGCGTGTTTTTTTCAGATTTTTGGAGTTCGAATGGGCCCTACCTTTGGGAGTTTTTTGGACCTATTATTTTATTTGACCTTAGGACTATTTGCTACTACTATAAATAGGCCCAAACCACTTTTCTCTCATTATTTTCCTTCACTTTTTCCCTCCGAACCGTGAGTCCTTCTCTCTCTTTCCAAAACTCAAACTTTTTCACTTAAATCTCTAGATCTACTCACCTAGAGTGATCTACTCACCTTGCTCCTTTGAGATTAAGTGTAGAGCTTATCAAGGGCTTCGTTTTGATCGGGGCAAAGCGTGGTTTCGTCGCTGTCAACTTTTGAGCTTTTCCCTCTTCTCTCTCATCTAAGCTTGAGGTAGGGATCTTTTCTACACTTCTATATGATATTTAGCTTAGTTATTTGTACCTTGTGTAACAATGATATGATTTGGGGGTGTTTAAGGCTAATCTAGGGTTTGGGCATAAAATGGAAATAGGGAATTTTGGGTGAAGGTGAAATAAATGCTTGAGGGGTTTGAAGATGATGTGGTATTGTGTATGATTTGATGATTTTGGCACTTGGCTAACATTTGGGGAAAAATGGGAATTTGCCCTAATTGAATCAAATTATTATTTTGTATCAATAATGGAAATTGACATTAAAAATGTGAAATTGAAAAGGTATTGATATGAATGGTGGGATTGGTTATGTGTTATTCCATTCTTTGGTGGTTTCGAATAAACTTTATGTTATGAGATTTTATATCTGCTTAGAAATAATTGTATTGGGCTATCGGTGGAAGATAGCTATGATTGTTGCAGAAATTACATGCGGATTAAGTGAATTGAAACTAATCACTTGTGCTTGTCATTGAATATGACTATATTTATATACATTGTATATGTATGGTTATTTGGGAATGGCAAAAGAATGTACTCCATTGTTTGAATTTATGATTAAATACATTGCATATGTATGAATGATTGTTTGGGAGGAGAAAGGGGATGGACTCCATTATAATTAAGTTGACCGGAATGTCCTGGGTGAAAGTCTCGAAATTATATATGAGTGCCTAACCCGCAGACAAAATATCCGTAAAATGGCAATTGTGGTGCTTGTATAGCCTACGTTTACATGAGTCTCGTTTGACGACTGCCCGTAGACGAAATATCCGTGAAAGAATACATGGGTCCCGTTTGGCGGCTGCCCGCGGACGAAATATCTGTGAAAGAAAAGTTTGAAGTGCTTATGTGTTGATAATGTGATTCTAGAACTAACGAGTTGTTATCTCATTTGGGTTGATAAGAAATGATGAAATTGGCTTATGTAATTAAATGAAATGAAGGGAAATGGCTTAATTATTGAGTTTGGTAATTTAAGACTACACATAATGTGGATGCATTTATCTTTGACGTTGTATATGCATAGTGTACTTATACCTTTGCTAAATTTCATATATTGTGTTAGGTGGTTTCTACTGGACTGTGGCTCACCCTACTTGGGAATAACATTTTCAGGTAATGATGGCATGCCTCCACTAAGGCAATAGCATTGGAGAAACTTTTGGAAGCAAGGGCTTCTCATTTTGATTATATGTTTTTGTAAAGCCAAAGGTTTAAGATGTAATGAGCGAAACTCACTTTTGATTGTAACCAAGATATGTCTTGAAAAGATGTAAGCTCGTAAGGCATTTAATTTGTTGTTATACATTTGCATTACATGTTGTAGATTCATAATGAACGTTTATAAATGCATAATGCATGTAATCCCTTTTGTAATATGAATTCTGTTATGAGAAAGTGTACCAATTGTGTTATATTCATTTCTCTTATGAGTCGGATTATTTGTATTATTTTGAGGGCATTACAGGTACTAAATTAAAATAAATCGAAGTATGGGGGTCAACGTGAAAAACGCGTGATAGTTTGGGGAGAAAATGATATTTCTTCTTTTGGTTTTTAGTTATTCTAGTAAGCTAAAATATTTATGTTTAGGAAAAATGATGAATTCTTTTATAGTTGGATATGATATTTGTGAAAAAAAAAATAAAATAATTATGATTTTAATGTGATATTTATATTATTAATTATTTTAATCTATTTTATCTTTTTATAAATTTTAGTAAAAAAAAACTAATTTTTAACTTTTCATACCCTCAAAAATCATCAGTCCATTTTAGGACGCACAAGTCACGATCAAGACTGACACCAAAGTCCACACGCTTTTTAGACGATCAAAAATGTTATAAATCTTAAATAATCTATTAAATTTTTTATTAAATTTTTTAAATGAGTGTGAAACTCACACAAATCTACATGTGTATAGGTCTCACACTCATATAAGAGGTTTGATAAAAAAAATTTAATAAATTATTTGAAATCCTTAACCTCACTCTTAGACAATTGCATGCAAAGCTTCAAGTTTTAACCGTTTTGAGGAAGGGTTATTTTGGGGTGGAGGTTAAAAATTTTTTTAATATTTTTTAAAAAAATGTATAAAAAAATAAAGAGAAGATATGATCAAAAGAGATTATAAGACGAAAAGTAACTTTTAATCTCTTTGCTAAAAAAGACATAAAAAATTAAGAAAAATGTTAAAGACCTAAAAAAATTATTAAATTTTTTTTATCAAACACTTGTAGCTTCCTAGTATTGCTCAGAAATTAATTACACAATTTGATATAATTCTAAATAATTGCAATCTAAACTTTAACACTTGTTCTATAAAAAAACATAACTCACTTTCTCACATGAATGTAAGATTTATAAAAAAAAATAAAATTCATAAAAAGATAAGACTAGCCTTAATTATATGAGACAATTATGTCTGATTTTGTTATCATTTTACTTTTACCTGGACTTTTTCAAGATTTAATTTAAAAACATTTACTGTACTGATAGAAATGTTGATTTTTCCACTCATTATCCATTCGGGGGAGGATCTCTCCAATTCAAAATTGAGATTGGAAGACGTCATTTGGGCCCATGAGTTTCATCATGAGTCCTGTTTCGATGATATGAATTGCTTATTTTGTCAAACATTTTATATATTTCATTTATAAAAAATAAAAAAAAAAAGTAGATCGATCTATTAATCGTAGCATATTCAATTTATCATGTTTGTCACACAAAAAAAAAAAAAAAAAAAAAAAAAGCGACAATGTGTTAAAAATAAACATCCCTTTTTTTTTTTACAAACGCGATAAATTAACAATCTACAATTATCAGATCGACCTAAATTTTTTTTTTATGATAAAATAACATAAAATGCTCTACAAAATAACAGTACCCTACTATTAAAACGGGACCATGATGGAACACGGGTCCAAAACAGCACCCTGCAATCAGATTTTGGATTGGAGATGATCCTCCTCCTCATCATTATACAAAATAATAAATGAGGAATTACTTAACAATCTGATAGAAAAAAAAAATTACAAAAACATTAGGGGTGCAATGATTATGTGATGAAGTGCAAAATAAAACTATGCGGGTGCAGTCCATGTTTTGGGTGTTTTTATTGGGTGTTTAACTTTGTATTATGGTCTATTCAACTAGTAAGTAATTCTCCCATAATAAATTGAATAAAACTATACGCACTAAATGGTACACCAATTAATGTACTAACGAATGGTGTAACATAATTTTATTGGTTTTGAATCTTTATAATTTGTGTAATTAATGAGATTTATAATTTTAAAATTACAATGCTATAACATGTACGCTAATTAATATAGTAAATTTCAACCCACAGTCTACACTCTCTTCCATCCACACACTTTTCTTCCAAAATGTTATCCCTCAATAATATCAAAACCACCTTATTGACAATCATTCTGGCAGGAATTCTTAGCGGTATCATACCAAAAATCGTAGTGGGTCAGAATTGTGGTTGTAGTGAAGGACTATGTTGCAGCAAGTTCGGGTACTGTGGCACTGGCGATGACTACTGTGGTTCAGGGTGCCAATCAGGCCCTTGTGCAACGCTGCCTTTTTTTTTCTCTTTGATCTGCTTCCCCGATGCCTTGGACCCTGGTATTGTTGTGACGCAGGCATTTTTCGATGGGATAATCAATCAAGCTCCTGCTGGATGTGTAGGGTAGGGAAAAGCTTCTTCGCCCGCTCTGCATTTCTTAATGCCCTTGGCTCCTACCCTTCGTTTGGCACCACTGGAACTGCTGATGATTCTAAGCGCGAAATTGCTGCTTTCTTCGCACATGCCACGCATGAGACTGGACGTAAGATTTCAACTTCACTTTCCTTCCAATCCACACGTAAATTGCTAAAATCAACCAATTTGAATATTTTATATACTAGAAAAATTTGCACAACTTAGCAAATGTGAAAGGAGTTCTACCGGTCAAGTCAATATAATGCTTTCTTTAAAATGACAAAGAGGAATCGATGGTCAACATGATTTATCGTTTTATTCTATTCCTGTTATTCATTGACCGGGGATTTTGTCCTTGTGGATGTATTTAGTTGGCACCCTTTCCGATTCAGGAACTTGTTCTGGGGCATCTATGATTTTGTCTTTTCATCCAATCCTTCCTCGTATGGGCCTAACATAGTTGTAAATAAATATCACACAATCAAAAAAAGTTCTATTTTATCAACATATCTCTAACAACAAAACTTCCTGATTTGGCAGTTTTTTGCAATATTGAAGAGATAGATGGTGCCTCTAAGACCTACTGTGATCAATCAAATACTCAGTACCCATGTAAACCAAACAAGAATTACTATGGCAGAGGTCCTCTTCAACTGTCATGGAACTACAACTATGGGCCTGCTGGGGAAAGTATTGGGTTCGACGGACTAAACAATCCGGAAACTGTGGCAACAGATTCAGTGGTGTCGTTCAAGACCGCCTTGTGGTTTTGGATGAACAACATTCACAATGTCTTAAATTCTGGATTCGGTGCAACAATCCAAGCCATCAACAGTGGCGAATGCAATGGTAATAGACCGGATGCAGTCAATGCTCGTGTCAAGTACTACACTGACTATTGCAACCAACTTGGGGTTGCGCCTGGTAATAATCTCCAATGCTAGGACACTAAAAAATTTAGCCGACATGGAAGCTAGCTCTTCAGTACCTTGTAATAAATTTGACATACATGGAAGAAAATAAATATTACTATTAGTTTTGCAGTAATACTACTCCAATGAATAAAAAGTGCTCTAGCTAGGTACATGCTTGATCATGATATGGAGGGAATTACTAGTAAAGATTCAAATGTATTGTTCAGTTTCTGCTAAACAAGCTCGGTTTTTTCAACAATTAATTAATAAATTTTGCTTTCATATCGTTGTTCAAAGTACTTTATTTTTTGGCAAAAAAAAAATTGTTATTATCAGTCTTTTTTATCGACAGAGAAGGAATATATTTTGATAGTAATGATAAAAATTACAATCAATATAAAAGAAAGTATAAAGATGATCCAGACAGGAGCAACAAGAAAAACAAAAAACAAAAAAAAAATGCAGAAAAAACCAGTAGACCAGTAGTTAACAAGGTGCCAACTACTAAATCCCCCAACAGAGAACTACCAAAAACACCCTGTTCTGAAACTCATGCTCCATTTGTGTCGGCAGAAAACACTTTCTGGAAAATGTTTTCCACATTTTCTGATGTTTGATACAATGTAAAAGTCAATATAAAACTTGTCAGTAAAAAAACTTCAACACAAAAAGAATAGAGATTTTTCCAAATACAAGAAATAATGGACTTGTTATGATCAAAGTCATACAGAGAGATGCTCTGCATTCAAATAGAGCAATTTGACAGAGAAAACCCACTGCAGTCTCATTTGCACCTTAAGGCCGTATTTGGTTCATAGATTTGGGGAAAGGTTTGAAAAAGAAAAAGAAAAGGAAAAAAGTAAGTGAAATGTGAATGAAATATAACTACATTTCACATACCTTTTCTCTTTCTTTTCCCAAATTACTCCCCAAATCCATAAACCAAACACAACTTAAGTATCCATTTTTATTAGCAATCATCAGCCTTTCATTCCTTCAATATTATTGGCAAATCAACAAACAGATCTTCCGCCTAGATTAAAAGAAAAAGGCCTCTTCTAAACTCAACATCCAATCAAAAAAACTGCCAGAGAAATCATATATCCATATTTTAACGTTAACAGATTCAGGAGTCCAGTATTGAAATGGATATCCATATATTTTTTTATCAAGACGGTTCGTCACAATTATCATTTTAGACCCAAATCGCCACCACCATTTGGCTAGTAAAACCATATTTTTAAAGATCAAATTGTTGGTACCTAAACCACTCAGTGTTTTAGCCTTAGAAACTGCAGCCCATTTGATTAAAACTTGTGAAAAATAAAAACAAAAAACTTGCATGGTACTAGACATGATGTTTAGAAAACAAATATAAAGAAACATGGTTTGTGAGTTGCCAGAGGTGGATGGGTGGCGGGGGAGAGAGGAGAGAGTGATAATGTTTTGAAAACATGAGAAACAATTTTTTTTCCTTTCCAAAATTTTGGAAATGAATTCCACTTTTTTCAAAAATAAAAACAATATATCAAACAAGTTTTTATTTATACATTCCCCCCACCCCAAAAAATAAATAAAAATAAATAAATAAATAAAAGTTCTTCTATATGCACAGATAGAATAGAAATTAGACACTGCACACAACCTTCTTATCTGGGTCTAGAGCCCACCTCATGTGAGAAGATTATGTTGAATTCCATGATAATAAAAGTGTTATCAAATGATATGCCTAAAAAAGTAAGGCTGCGTTTGGTTATGTGTTGCAATCATGATTCCAACACAAAATTTTCGAAACAGTTTTCAAAATTTATAACCAAATACACAACTCAAAATTCATCAAAACTCAATTCAAAAATTCATTTCAAAACTCATAATCAAACACACAATTCAAAACTCTTTTCAAAACTCAAAACCAAACTTTCTTCAAAACTCTACTTTTAAAAAATATTTTTTTATTTTGTTTTTTAAAATTATTTTTGGAATCATAATTTGAGTGTGAAGTCGTGTTCTGAGTTATGAGTTTGGAATTCAGTTTTGAAAAGATAAAATTTGTTTGGTTATGAGTTTTAAGTTATGGGAATTACTAGAAAAGTACAAACTTAAAAAAAATACAAACTTATGTTAAATATATTTTTTAAATATTAACAAATTTTAAAAATTTTATTTTTTATTTTAAATATTTTATTTTATTTTATAAATATATTTTTAAATATTTTAATTTTTTTGTTATGTGTTTTGTTATGATTTGAGTATAGAGTTTTGAAAATAGTGTGGAGTTTCAAGTTATGTGTTTGGTTATGAGGTTTGAAAATAATTTTTGAATTGAGTTTTGAGTTATGTGTTTGGTTACGATTTGAGTGTAAAATTGTGTTTTGAGTTTAAAATATTAAAATTAAAATATTAAAATATTTATAAAATAAAATAAAATATTTAAATAAAAATTGCATATTTAAAATAAAAAATAAATAAAATTTAGTGTTTACATTGGGCACTTTAGTGTTTACATTATAGGCATCATAGGCATTATAGGCACTTGAGGGCATTATAGGTATTTTAGTGTTTACATTTGATGACATCAGTAGGGTCGGTTAGGTGTATAAACGGCGGTCAAATTTTGAGGGAATCTTGACATTATCAGATAAAATAGGATAGGTTACTGTAATTATTCAAACCACATGAGAGATCCCTGCATTTGTCAGAAACCTCAGGGGAGGTAAATGTAATTTACCCAAACTAATATATATACATCACTATATTTATATTTATAAAGGCAAAAGAAAATAAATAGAGAAATTAAAAAATATATTAAAATAATTATAAATACCAAAAAATATACTTAAAAAAAAAATGGGGAACTTACCAATAAGTCCCATGTACAAAGCTCAAGACCCATCTAATTCTCAAACAAAACACTTGCACCAATTAGTCTTATATATTTTTAATTGTTATCAAAAAATCCTTTTTTTTTTAATTTACAGACACTGTTACATCCTACTACCGTTGGACTTTTGTCAAACCGTCACCAGAGACTTGTCGGAATGTTCAACATCACCGGGAAGTTGCCGGAGTATCGCCGAAAGTTCACCGGAGTATTAAGAACGTTAATAGAAGTCGCCGGAATATTCAGAATGTTCACTGGACGTTAAGAACATCATTGGAGATTCACCGGAATGTCTAGAATATTGCCGGAAAAAAAAAATTAAAAAACATGTTATGAAACTGTAAAATTTTACAGTTCTAAAGAATGTTATAAAACTACAAAATTTTACAGTTTTAAACCATGATTCATTCCAGCACCAAAAAAAAAATTTGAAACTGCAAAATTTTACAGTTTTAAACCATGATTCATTCCAGCACCAAAAAAAAAATTTGAAACTGCAAAATTTTACAGTTTTAAACCATGATTCATTCCAGCACCAAAAAAAAAATTTGAAACTGCAAAATTTTACAGTTTTAAACCATGATTCATTCCAGCACCAAAAAAAAAATTTGAAACTGCAAAATTTTACAGTTTTAAACCATGATTCATTCCAGCACCAAAAAAAAAATTTGAAACTGCAAAATTTTACAGTTTTAAACCATGATTCATTCCAGCACCAAAAAAAAAATTTGAAACTGCAAAATTTTACAGTTTTAAACCATGATTCATTCCAGCACCAAAAAAAAAATTTGAAACTGCAAAATTTTACAGTTTTAAACCA